ATAGCTGTGAGTGTCAATAAATTACTGTGTCATAAAAAAGGAACGATGTACACGTGATCTGAGATACCAATATCTCAATATCAAAAGGATAGTGTCTAAACCATTTCTATAGTTTCAAGACTAGCTGCTTCCATGTGACTAGCAGCTTCCACAACCAGTAGCTTCCACTAACCAACCAGCGTAACTGTTGCATTTTGACTCTCTTTGCCTCCAATTTGAACATTTTATACATTACGAAAGATTGAATTAGTAGAGAATATTGGTCGCTTTGCCCTTATGCCTTATTAGCCCTAGCACTTTGAACACTACTATATAATAACAACTAATTTGAGGACATGTATGACGGAAGTATATGTTTCCGCCTTTGGAGAAGCCATGTGGGCGCGGAAACTTCAGCAGTAACTTGTGTTACTCAAAGGAGATAAAAGCCAATCTCAATTGTACTTTTATTTGTACAATTCGTTTGCAATAAATACTTTCATGTCCATTAAAATTGAAATATTATAACACCCAACATATCATCTTCAATGTTAAAAATGCGAAGAAGACAAATTTACAGTTCATGAGATGTCCGTCACGTCAAGGAAAAAGATTTTTCGTTGTTACATTTTAAAGAATAAAAATATTTACAAAAAATGACATGCGGGACACCGAGACATCATGTCACCTCAGTGGCATAACGTATTCTGCATTTGACGGATGTTACTCGTCTAAATTTCTTCGAAGTAGCTCGCGCCGCTTTCTTCTCGAAATGCCCGACGGCACGAGCTACGAAGTAGCGCGCGCCGGGCCAGATCATTAACAATGGTCAAATTCTGCATGTGCCATGCCATTTTTACTACACTGTTTTGTGCTCATGTTCCAATCAATCTTTTGGAGATGTATTATAATTAAAAAGGTTGCAGACTTTTTTGTTTTATTATTTTTGCCGCCCTTTCCAAAATTTTGACAGATGATACTCTTGTCCATTTTTTTTTGCACGTTTCCTTCTCGAAATATTATTTATTGTATTATGAGTATTGCTGAAAGCACAGTGTAAGGCCTACACGGACCGCCTCTAACTAGCCAATCCCTGTTTACATGCCGTGTAGCAGGGGACTAGAAAGAGCTAAACTAGTAAGCAGGGCATAGCCAATACACTGTACTCCCATCATTGAGTATATTACCAACCAAAAGGAAAATTTCCTTGTGTTTGGAATCTACCAAGACGAAAGTTGTGCAATCCAGCGAAATTCCGAAAAATCATTCCAGTAGACTAGGCGCATTGCAACCACAGCCACGGAAATACTTATGAGTATTGCTGAAAGCACAGTGTAAGGCCTACACGGACCGCCTCTAACTAGCCAATCCCTGTTTACATGCCGTGTAGCAGGGGACTAGAAAGAGCTAAACTATATAATATACGACCGGACTAGGCAAGTATTATGAAATGAATAGGGTCGATCCCTATAGTCATGTGTATACGCGTACTGCGTGACGCGCTTGTTTCACGTAGCGCCGAGCGCGACACTCACGGTCGTTTCACTAGGTGACGATACAGGTGAGCCGCGCACTCGTGCGCGGCGGGTCATACAACGTATGACAAGGTTTTCAAAAGCTTACGGGTTAAGATGATTACGTGGGGTTTGGTCGTTGATTACGTAATCAAAATTTTAATTTTTCCCGATTTTCGAAATACCAATTGGACAATTTACGTTAATAATAATTCTGTAATCAAAATTTTCGTTTTTAAACCAATTTTCGTTTAGTTTGGAGGACTTCACAGCGCAAACTAGCATTCTTGCTTCGCATTTTTGCTTCGCGATAAGAGATAAGAGCAACTGGCAACGATCTCGATGGGTTGACACCGTCAATCAACGTTTAGTAAGTGCTTTGCGATTATTTCATTCATTAATTCGTTGTGATAGCTTTAATGAGGGGTCCAACCTTGATTTATTTACGTAATAAAGGGGGGTTCGGTTTTGATTACGGAGGGGGGGGGGGGGTGGAAATTGTCAAAATATTGATTACGTAATATGTGAACGACCCCCTAGGCAAACATATTTTAAAGAATGTGCGTGCGCGCAAGTAAAGCCGCGCGCTCATACTCTATGCTAACGCATATTTAGGCTTGCATCGCGACTTCCATTTTATTCCTAATTCTTGATGAAAATACGATCAAATCATGACACGTTATATCATGACACGTAGAGGTACTTTTTATTCGTAATCAGAGGGATTTATAAATAGGCGACATACAATTAGGGACCGTTCACATATTATGTATGCCAGATTTTGACCCCTAAGCCAGATTTTCGACCCCTCTTGGCTCTTCCCCCTCCGTGTGCCAACATAGCTCATGTGTATAAATAACACTCACTTTAGCTTGTTCAAACCCCTCCCCTCTTGGCTGGTCTATGTAATACGTAAAAGATTACTTATTTTCTTACTTCGGCCAATGTTAACTTTGGCCAAAGTTGGTTTACGTGTTGGTGACAATGAGCGACACAATTTACGAAGGCCAAATTTTCGTTATTTAAGACCCCCTTATTCTGTTAAAGTGGTCTTACTTTCTTTCTCTAATATAATATGCCAAGTTCATGATGTCCCGATTTAGCAGACGTAAGATATTGTACCAAGCAGCTTATTGAAACACTACAGCTATTTCATTGCGAACAATATATATATATATCTATCTAACATGTTTACCATCATTCCTAGGGATATGGGGATCCGACAATGCACTAAGCACCTGAATAAAAGGAGTAGTGGTTATCAATTGTTTAGTACAGAATGCATTATTAGTGCACTAGAAATTACTCTTGATTACAACATTGCTTCATTTAACGGTATAACATACCGCCAGGAGCGTGGAGCAGCGATGGGTCCTAAGAACTCATGTGAGTATGCTGATTGTGCTATGGATAAGATTGATATCTTAGTTAACGAAGGAGATCTAGAATATGGCCCGCCTCATAGACCAGCATTCTGGGGTAGATTACGTGATGACATTTATATGGCTTGGCCCGGTACTGTTGAGGAACTATTACAATTCATGGAATGGCTCAATAGTATCCACCCAAACCTTTTGTTTACTTACGACTACTCTAGGGACGGCGTTGAGTTTCTAGACACCTATGTCTATGCTGTTGGTGATGTTGTCCACACCAAACTCTACTCTAAACCTAGTGACACCCACTGCTACCTTATCCCCACGTCATGCCATAGGAACCATGTTGTAAAAAACATACCTTTTGGAGTGGCGAGGCGGGTGAGACAGAACAACAGTGAAGACACTAACTTCTTGGAGCAGAGAGAGGTCTATACACGTTACCTTCTAGCCCGAGGTTATCATTCCAGTATTATAGAAGATGCCTTTAACAAATTTAGTGATATAGCTAATAGGAAAAACTTGTATACCCTTAAAGACAAGGATGAGTCGACTGCCTGTTTAATACCCATGGTGATGGATCAAAATCCAGCACTTCCCAACATGGGGGGCATTATCCATAAGTATAAGCACCTTCTCAACCTTGATCCGGCCCTGAAGAAGCTGGTACGTGCGGACAGTGTATTCGTGAGTCATCGAAAGAATCAAACTATCGGTGGCATGCTTGTACACAATAAGTACCGTGCCAGTGGAACTTTAAACTGTGATAATGAGAGAGAAACAACTGCAAGTCAGATCCAGGAACCAGACTCCGAAAGTCTAAGGGCGGTTCCCGGGGCTGTCGACCCAGGGTGCCATGCTTGTGGTAAATGCTATGTTTGTAAGCAAAATTTCCTGTCCCCCTGTTCCAACTTTAGTAGTCACCATTCTAAACAAGTTTTCCCTATAACTAAGTATATATCTTGTCAGAGTTATAACCTCATTTATTTAATGGAGTGTAAGACTTGTAAACAGTCGTATGTCGGTTATACTACCTCAAATCTCCTTAAGAGATTCTCTAACCATAAGAGTCACATAAAGAAAGGTATAAGAAGTTGTAAATTAGTTAACCATTTTTTAGATATTGATCATGATTTAGATTTTAGTACCATAGCCTCCTATAATTCCTCACTTAGTAAGCACCTTTCTGTCATTATAGTAGACGCTTTAGTATTTGAGCCTAATATTAGTAAAGCAGACAAAGAAAAGGCTATGGAAGCTAGAGAGGGGTTCTACCAGACCCAATTGAAAACCCTTGAACGGTTTGGGGGTATGAACACCCTTGATAGTAACCATATACTTTTTAAATCTGCCGGAGCTTAGTTTTAGTTTTAGTATATTTTGTAGATTTTATTTAGTTATACCATTATTCCAGAGACGTGCATATTACATCTTTTACTTTAGTATAATTTTTACAGGTTTTTTGTTGTGATTTTAAGTGATTTTCCGAGAATCAGTTATCAGTATTTAGATAAGAGATAAGATAAGAGTACATTTTTAACGGCTTTCAGTTTCTTTTTTAAATTTCAGTTCATCAGATTTTCCCACTGCTTTTAGTTTGTATTTATTCTCAATTGTATATGATTCGTATTTTTTGTAGTTACTTTAATGATATAATTTCTCAGAATTGATGTAAATAAATGATGCAAAGACTTTCGACGATCTAATCACAACCGCTTTCTTTTATTGTGTAGAAGTCCAGCCATGAAATATATATATATTATATAATATGCGAAGAAACCTACATTGGTCTTGTCTGGCTGAGGCTTAGCTTTGCCGATTGTGTTAAATTGATCTCCTTATTCTGCGGGGTTACTTTTGTTCAGTTGGAGAAATATTACACTCTGTATTGTCATCCCATGATATTACTATTAGTTACATAGAGTATATTACATTCATTTTGAGTGTGTAATTGCATTATGCTCCTTATTGTTTCCTGAGAAAGGACTTGACTCAGTGACTCGATATTCTGGACGATCTAGCTAGCTAGGCTGTGTCCATCAGATCTACCTTGTCCACTCTTTAGGGTGATTCTTGGGACTCTGGACAACACTCAGTTCGGGTTTAGCTTGGTGACATTAAAAATATAGTATAGATGAATAACCGAAATATGTTGCAAATAACATTCAATTTAATAACAAAAACCTAATTTATATTACACCCCAACGTTTAATACAAGTTTAAAAAAGTTACAAAAATCATATAATTCGAAGACTAAAAAGAAAAAGAAATAAATTTCTGCTACTCAGGACTCGTCAATTGAGCTAAATAAACAATACATTTGTTAAAGGACATTCACAAGTCAAATGCCCAATATGCCAGTATAAAAAAAATATGCCCGTACAAAAACTAATATACACTACATCTTAGCTAATTTATTAGCCCTTCTTTTTTCCTTTTTTCCCCTTCTTTGGTTTTTTATTTTTTCTCTTTGCAGTAACCCTGAAAAGAAGATAATGTGGAAATGAATTTTTTGAGTAATGTGGAGAACAAATAAAACCCCTTCATATATTTGAAAATCAAAATCAAAAACAAATATTAAGTTCACTCAACAAAACAGAACAACGTACGGTTTATTAACACTTTACCACATTAAATAGTTTACAAGAATGCAGCAAAACTGTCGACTTTTAGATTACAAGTTTAAAACGTTGGTTGTACGTTAATAAACACTCAATCACTGTACAAGTTAAGGGACACAGCTAGTTAGTAAGGCGTGGGGTCAGCCCAAATATCGACTAATATCGACCGGTCGATATTAGTCGTCTGAAGTCGCCCATGAGCCTGACTGGCCTCACGGCGCGCGCTCTGCTCAAGTCGCCTGTGGGCCTGACTGTGGGCCTGACCCCACGCCTTTAGTATTATTGACTAGTTAGCATACAGTATGAAATCACAAACCCCAACACTTACTTTATCTACCCAGGCCATGTGGTCACAGATAAAAGGGTAGAAAAGAGCTCTGACAGCAAATAACAACAAATTATGTTTAAAAATTATCTCGTATGCAGTTCAATTTATTAAATAGCTTAAATAGCTCAGATGTTACCATCATAGGTTAAATCAGCGAATATTTATGGTTAAAAATAAAGATATAATATAATAAATTAAATCAAATTCAACTGATAGAAGGACTGGGTGTACTTTAAGTGGTCTTCAAGTGTACTTTTAATGAACTTTACGAGAATATTCTAAACTTCGATATACGGCAATCTCCTACAATTAAAAATCCTCAATTTCCTTTTCAAAAGGACAAAGAGAAAAAACAACCCAACAATAGCAAAAACAAACATACCAAAAGTAGAAAAACCCCGTGCTTCGCTTGTTTCTGCCTTGTTAACAATGCTAGAATGTCGAGTTCTATACTTTACAGGATTAACAGCAACATTATCAACAACAGTCTGGTTCCCCTCGACTAACCTCATCCTCCCGAACGGTGTCTGAACTCTCCGGAAGTGTCTCATCAGAAAACCAAACACTTGATCCGAGTCAAACTGTCCATCATCGTCAGAACATTTGGCGCAAAGTGAGCGGGGCGGATACTGGATCTTAGGGAAGTAAGGATCGTGTATCTCAGTGCTGAGGCGGTGGTTTACTTGGTTGTGAGCCTCCCAAAGCGCTAGAACAGCAGTTTGGTCCTCCTCAATACTGAGGAGCTTCATCTGCTCTGCCATGGATAAGAAGTGGTCCCTACAGTATGAACAGGTAAAGAATGAGTCCACAAAGCCGTGTATAGCGTGTAACACTGACACTGACCCGGGTGCTGCATTGTAACAACTGAAATACACGTGTCAGTTAAATTGCAATCGCGCGAGAATTTAAAGTAGATATCTTGCAAATGATTTCACAGTTTCCATCAGTTCTTATCGAATTAAATTAATTAACTAGTAATACTAACATATTAACTAATTTAATTAACTAGTAATGCTAGCATAACGATTAAGTGTAAGCACCATATTATTGGCAGATCATTTGTGAAAGTAGACTATTCTCACTTAGGCTAAAGTGTAAGCACAGTGGTTAATAATAAGTGTCACTTAAGGTACGCAAAGCGATAACAAAGCAGTTACCATAAACAAAGCTATATTATTGATAATAGTGAACTCTTCTCATTACAGGTCATTTGCCTTATAGTTATAATAGGGGTCAAAACAACAGCTATTATAAAACGTGATCTGAATAGTGAAAAGAGAGGATGACAGCAGCTGGTCAAGAAAAGGGGCCTGGAGTTTATAAAAGATCAAGAAAGAAAGAGTTCAAAAAAACAAACAATTAGGATCGGAGTAGCTAGTACAATAAGTTACCTGGTTAACATTGTGTGAAATAAGATCCAGAGTCCACAAGTGTAACCTCTAGTGTTGGGAGTACTGCCCTTGCAGCCCAGAAATGTGCTGTTCCTGGGGAAGCCTGCTTCTGTTGCACCTTCTAGAATAGTTGCCCATTCCTTGTTGGTCAGACTTTCTTTATCTTCTAAACCATTCTTTACCTGGACAAAAACAATAATTCATTATATTATGACTGCGCTTAGTTAAGAATCAAGAATTGAAATAAATTTCTAGTCATCTTCTTATAAATAAGGTGATCCAGATTAAATGTCAAAACAAACTGAAGATAAGGGATTATAAACCCTAGCAAGTTGCTTCTTGTAGTCGAGGGTCCAGCTACCACATCTCCTAACTACTGAGATGAAGTTCTTCAGATCCTGCAGCTCCTTTTCAGTGAAGTCTGTCTTTAGACCAACCTGAGTCAGGTTTAGTTAGACTAGGTGTTGGTTTATCGTAGTGGTGGACAGATTTAATAGCTAGCGGAATATATAATAGCTAAAGTATTTAATATTTCATTTCGCATTTTTTGCACCTTATTTGGTATAAGTGAAATATCGAGCAGTTCTAGTTCTAACAAAGAACCAAGAACACACTAATTTGTAGTTCAAACATTTCACTTTTTGTTTACTTCTCGCAATGCGGTTATTAAGAAATATAATAACAGTCTACAGGTATACATCTTTGTATTCCAACGAATTGGACAAAGAAGAAGGGTGGATTTGTATTGAGCTTTACAGTTTCTACAGAATCTACACAGGACAGAGAGGACCCAGGGGAATGTTATGTTTTTATAAAGTAAATAAAGTGACAACAAATACCCCATTTCTTAATTTATAACAATATTGCCTGTTTAAAGAAAAGTGTTGGTTTAAAAGAAATGTTTATTCGTAAAGACAGCTCACTTTCTATAGCATATATAGGTTGGTGCAACAATTTAATAAGCTTAGAGGAATTTGTTAATGAAGTTATCCGCAGAATGTAAACTATTTTATATTGCACGATAAAATCTAATAAATATTTGTGGTATATGCCTGCTCAAAAATGTGTGATTATATTACAAACATTAGCCTGCACTATTTACTATTAAACAATAACATTGTTGTTACAGTCATGCAGACAGCATTGTACCGTTAGAAAACAGAAAACTTCCTGTTATTACACACTACACACTGTACTACACACTGTACTACACACTGTACTGCACAGTTTACTACACATTACACCTCAGTTTTTGTTTTGAACTGTTGTTATATAATAAACGGCAGTGCACATTAAACAGAACGCACTACACATTACACAGTAACAGTAAGGGGTCGTTCAGATATTACATAATCAGCCGAGGGGGAGGGGGGTTTCCAAATGATTACGCTAGTGTAATTTTGACACAATACCTATGTGTAAAGCTGATTACGGAGGGGCGGGGGGGGGGTGGTAAAAATTGTTCAAAAAGTGATTACGTAATATGTCAACGACACCCAAGTCTAAACAGTTATATTAAACAGTAGACACTACACAGTCAACAACAACAAAAAATTGCTCCTTTTTCAGATCTGCAGATCGGATAACAGTAGGTAGCCACACTAATAACAAATGATACATATTATATACAGTGTATAACTATATATACATTGCTCATTATTGCATAATATGACAAATTTAATTCATCTCGCTATTAGCTATTACCTTGATTCCCACCATAAACAATTAAATGATATTTAAAAAGGAGTCACGTGATATAGAATTGTACAATCTACAATGTACATACCTCCATGTAGAGTGCGGTGTTTATAGAGCTTTGCATGTCCAGTTCGTAGTTATTGTACTGCAGTGAGGTGTCTATAAACTCTATAATACCCTGAGAAGATAGATTAAGTGAGATTACTGCTGCTTACTGAACTATACTGCACGTGGAGAGTGTTTTTGTTAAATATGGAGAAGTAAGAAGACTAAATCTGGCAACACTCCAGGAACTCCTTTTAAATAACTCTTTAACCTCAAATTTATGAAACCCTGACTTTAAATAGTTAGATTTTTAATATGATAGAGGAACTGACTAATATTAGTGTTTGTGAACAACTATTTCTGTCGAATTTGTACATCAGTAGACTGAGCGGACTAGTTAATTTTTGGTAAATCGGTAATCATAGCTACATGTACTGTAGTGCTAGACTGAGAATGGAAAGATATATGATAATACATAAGAATAAGCCCCATTATTCAAGTTATAACCATAAAGGAATAATTATTTTGTCCTTTTGTAATTTGAAACTGTTTAACCTTTGTTCTTGTATGCAACTGTAATAACTGTGTGCAGTAAATAATATGTTGTCGTGATAACGTTCGCATTATCAATTATAAGCCCTTACAATATTACTGCCACGTATCAATACTTATAAATGCAATACTTCTCGTGCTCTTATGTTGGACACCAGTCCATTAGAAGTTGAGCTAATGTAAACTTAAACGAAGTCAGACAAGTTCAATACCAACGTTTAACGTTTTTGGGCTTTTTTTCCACAATTTTAGAAAATATACCGCCGAATTCCGAGTATAATCACATGTGCGACATGGGACTTGTTTCAGAGCAAGGGCGCACCTGTTAGGTGCGACACCTGGGTGCAGATAGACAAAGGAAGCCATTCCTGAGGGAAATCTCGACTTGTTGTCCGCTAAGTTTATTCAGATTTAAAAAAATGAAATGGTCGTTTAAATATTGAGTCTAATATATGTCTTCACCTTTTCATTTTCACCCTCCTTGCCGCCGTCAGAATCTACTTCAGCTGAGGAGCTATCACCGAGGATACGGTTTATTGCTTCTTCAAGTTTTGTGGGATCAGTATCAACGTGAGCAATGTGAGACACTTGCCCTGAAATACGACTTATTAAAGAGCTGCAACATGAATGAAAATGTTAATACAAATTATCAATATCTTTACAGATGCAGTGAAACAATATCAATGTTGCATGAATTTAAATTTAAACCGTTTTCAGAAAGAACGCCGATTCCAGCAGCTTTAGCCCCGAGTTCCTCACTAGCTGCAGAGTTGACCATAGCAAACCTCAAATCAGACTTCTGTAGATCAAGCATTACTCGCTGACCAACTCTCTGAGGGTTTTACTGAGTTAATTATACGGTGTTATACTGATGAAATATGTATACTCTAATTAAGCTAATAAAAGCAACAAAAGTTTATACAGAGCTGCCATAATTTGTTAACCCTAGAATCGTTAGTTCGGAACAATCAAATCAGAATTACAAAAACAAGTTGCGACATTTTCTTACTTCTTCGTCGACAAAGAGAACTATTTTAGGTTTTTTCACTTCAGCACTTGATGTGTAGTTCTTTGCTTCTTCTACTGTTACCGGGTGAAGATTCGGCCACCTCCGGGGAGGATCCTTAACTGCTGCCAACTAAAATACATGACTTTATTAATCTTAATACTTTAATAGACTAACTGATTAACATATAAGTTATGACACGATTCAAGGTTAAAGTGATGACACAAAATTAGAATCAATGTTTAGTTCATATTATATAAATTGCTAGGTTTCCTAAAAAAGGTTACCAAGTTACTTTTGTTCATAACCTAGATTTAACCTAACGACTTGAAACTTCTCAAGATGCTTCAGAATCTGTGTAAAAACGTTCTGGCAAAACTTCACCAGGAACCTATTTATTTTGCCTCTCATTCATTTTAGCCAGATAGGCACAGATTGTACTTCATAAAGAGCTTACAGAGCTGCTGCTGAGTACATTTTGCCGTTTAAAATTTAAAGTGCATTGTGTTCACAATCTAAAACTGAATTTACTCTCAAAATGTCAAGACTCTAACTCATTCAGGAGCTGCGAGACGATCATGTAATCCACTCTGTCAACAGCTGTAGGATTTAGTCACCTTGTGGTAAACTATAAATGACGTTCTTAAACTGTTCTTGAGTTATTAACACTAGTTACTTGGTGGTCTTTTTTTGGGAGGGCACCTTGTAAACCATGTACACCTTGTTGTAGTTATTAAACTGAAAGTGAAAAGGGTACTAACGTTCTTGATGATAAATTCGATCATGGATTCTTGAGAGCGATCGCCATCATAAGTTACTCCAACATCTGATTGGTTTGTTGTTGGCCCTAAAGGAATTTTAGTTTAGTCAAAAGTGTATCCACAAGTCACAAATTCGAGCAAATAGAATTGTCAATGGCCAGGCTGGTTATGTTATGAATGGATATAAACCAGTTTATAATGTTAAGAATAAATTTATAGTCACCTATGAATTTGAGAGTCGGATAACCTTTGACATCAAACAATCTACAAACTGTAACATCAAACACACAGTCAACTCCAGCAACAGGAACAACGTCTGACCATGTTTTTATAGCTTCAGCAAGTCTCCTAAACAGAACCAAGGTGAAATACAGTTAGGAAAGGTGACTAAACGAAATTAAATTGAGACTTAATGAAATTAAATTGAGGTAAAAATACGATATTGGTGGCTAATGCAATTGCATTGAAATTTGAAGATAATTTATAAGGTATGTACTAAGTAAAAAGTACACATATTTCAATTTATTTAACACATGACTTACTTGTAGGCAGGAGCAAATCTCTGACAATGTCCACACCAACTAGAGTAAAGAAGGAATGTGTGAGCTCTGATTCCACCGTACAGCTCGTGCTGATAGTCATTTTCCTTGTAAATAATCACATCATCCTTGTCATCAAAGAGAGTCTTGTCGGCAGCAGCGTAGATTTGAGGAATTAACAGAAAGGCAATTAAATAGATGCTACTGCATCCTTTCATCCCTGGTAAGGAATATAAATTTTAAGGAATACAAATTTAAATTTTGATCTTTATTAAAGACTAGAAAGCCCGTGGTAACAGGGACGAAGCTAGTAGTATTCTTTGAAATAAAGTTTTGATCGCATCAAAAAATATCCATCTCAACCGAAGATACAGCCGATTTAAATATAAAACACTTTAAACACAACGTAATTACCACAAAACCGATCGAAATGACATTAAAACAATCTTTGCACGTGCATGTGTGCATTAAAACACCGTTGCTATGGAACCTTTTGGTTGTTACCTAAATTCCTATTTCTCGTCTGATTTGCACGTGGGCGGTCGTACGTACAGTGTACATAATTCTTTGAATTATAGTAGAGATTATACATATCATAGATAACAAAAGCCGTGCGTCGGCTGGTTGCCTCAACTTGGATTAATAAGTTACATTTTACAGTGAAATAAGTCTAAATAGATATCCTGTCGAAATGCAGTAAAAAGAGGGCACTATTGATTTTCAATCTTTTACTGCTTGTTGCGATTTGGGAGGTCTTTAAGGCAGTGGCGTAATGTTGCCTGTTGGCGCCCCCACCCCCCTCCCCCCCCCCCCCCCCCCCCCCTACCCCGCTGAAAAAGCGCCCCCCTGTTGGCACCCCTCCCCTTTTAGCGCCCCTCAATCAACAACTAATTTCGATTAGTTTCAACTAATCCATTCATAATTAAATTCGAATAAATTTATTCAGTTATTATCTGAATAGAACAGTATAATAAAAAAGTAAAAAACGGAAGCTTTAAAATCTACATCATAATTCCCACAACTTAGAATTAGTGGACATTGTTGAGAACAATCTGGAGCTAATGAAGACTGAGCAAATTTAGAAGCTGAAGGATGTTGAACGGGAATGGAAAGCTGGGAAACATTGCTCATGATTTATGATTGTGCTCTGCCAATTAATTTCATGACTTGATTTAATTTATTGTATATATATTGTTTTAAAAATATCCATTTGAAAAAAGAAAAGGGAAACATTGTAAAACCATTGTAAACCATTGTAAATAGATGACCAAGCAAGAAAAACAGCCAACATAACGACAGTAGTAGAGGGCAGGTATAGTAATAATAATAATAATTAGTAAAGATGAGAAAAAATACATTTTTCGTCAATGTTAATTGATGTGAGGAGTCGTGCTATGCCAAATATTTTAAACACCTTCTTAGGACACTCTTCAATACAACTAAATTGTATTACCAAATATTTTACCATTTACTATATTATCAATTATACTTTTTAGTGTAAAATCCGGATTGTAATATTATTTATGAGCTGCATAATTGAAAGTAAGCTTTTATTTGGATATGCTACATGATTTAACTTTTTTTAAATTTTGCACAGATTCTGCAGTTTGCTTGTTGGTTCTCTTTGCTTGCGCTGCTCAATGTTTACATTTAAAATAATGAACAACAAAATTGAGCCGCACATGATTTCAAAATATTTTTTTATATATAAAATTTTGAATTTTAATTCTTAATCTTTCCTTTAGCTCTGCTTAGTCAATAATAAGCATTACTTTTTAAATAAGCTTGAATTTTCCCGCCCAATTTTTATTTGGAGGACTTCGCCGCTTCGACGCGCCGCGCGAACTGTTATTCTTGCTTCGCACATCAACGATTGTTGCTTTGTGCTCTGCTTTGCGTTCGCAAAGCAACGATCTTGATGGGTTGACATCGTCAATCAAGAAATTATTTTTAATTTATCGAATGTGCGCCGTGTTTTCAAAACAATTTATCGTCAAGTTGTCAAAATAATTATAATTGTCAAAATAATTATAATTGTCAAAATATTTATAATTTCAGTACATCACCTAGTATAAATCACTTATTAATTTATGACATAAATGCATAACAATGTCTATTTTGGCCGCGTCGCGCAGCAAACAATTTTCTTCTATTCTCATGCTAAAGTTTTTTTGAAAATCGTAGCAAAGCTGAAAGTTGAAAAAATTGACATTTGACGGACGGAAGACGTAAAATCGTCCCAATAAAAATTTTGTCTTGTAAAATGTAAGGCATTAAAATTTATTTATGTCATCTGTTGAAACTGTTGTCACTCGTATTTTATTTTAAAGAAACGCTATTTCTTTTTTGGGTCATTTCATTATCAGTGACGCTTTTATAAACCATATGTTTACTTTACTTAGTATGGTGATAACTTATCACCATACTCAATACTTTTGTGATTAAAAATATATTTCCCCCATTACATATATGAATATTTTGAATATCTGAATGCTAACCTGTAAGCATGGCTAAAAATAAATGAATGCAATCTCACTTGAAGATATTAACGTTTGAATAATGCTCCTTTCATATGTATACTAAAGGGGACTGTACAACATTCAATAATTTTGCCCACGGCCCTCATTTAAGGCCAGATTTTTTTCCCTGCTCTTGCCGAAGGCAAAAAGATCGTAGGGAATAAGTAATCGGGTTTGGATATATGAGGTGGCCCGACGGTCCTACGGTGATGACAAAAGTCTGCTCCTTCGCAATATAGACCACTCCCCTATAATTATGTGTATAAAAGGAGTCTATTTTGCGCGCGCGACGCCAGTTATGTGTTAATTAATTACAGCCATAGCAGCTGAAAGTGCTGCCAAGACGAAACACTGGGACCTTGATAAGTGCCCGTGTAACGGCTCGTCTGGCGGCAAAGTCTATTTGATCGACTGTTCGCGTTGTAAACAGCAGTGGCATGTTGATTGTCTTAGTATGCGGGGGATCTCAAGGCAGGCCATCAACGCCATGGTTGACTACCTATGTCCCTTTTGCTATGTTGCCCCAGTAAGCACTGCCAGGAATAAGAGATCAGACACATGCTTCTCCTGCAGAAACACAACAGTCTTACGACAGGCTAACAGTGAATTTGAAGCCTCAGCTGCTGCAGATAATCTTAATAACATAGGCCTAATCTCAGCATCGCTTGCCTCGGTAGACAGTGAGAAACTCTGCGAGCAAATAGCCAGTCTCAACAGCAACATGGAACGTCTTCAGACTTTTGATCTCCATCTACAACATCTCCTGATTAAAGAAGACGGGTTGAAGTCCCATCAGGCTCAAATGAAAAAGTTAGAAGCAGCACTGTCCTCATCATCCAGCTCTGCCACAGACCCTCTAGCCAACAGCATCGAGCAGCTGAACCAGCAACTTGCACAGCTTCAATCACATCAAACTGCAGCATCTGAAACACCTGCTTGCACTGCCACTCATGAGCTACTTGAGAGAGTCTCACTAGAACTGAATGAGCATTCCACCCAACTTAACAACTTAAGCAGTCAAATACAGGATTCTAAAGCATCTCCTCAATCTAAAGCACCACCTGTAGCCCAGTACCCCTCTCCTCCAGTGCAGGCTCCCCTACAACCTGAACAACCTACCCCTCACTTACCACATGATCAGGTGCCAGTAACTGAAACCAGGCCAGATTTTATTCTGGCTACTGAATCTGAGAAAATTATTGCCTTTCTTCAGTCATGTTCTTTCAAACAAGAGAACGGTCACTCCGTCACTTCATTTGGCACCCCCTACCACTACATGGGATCTAAATCTTCAGAAAATGTGCCACCAATTCCTGAGGAACTCAAACCATTATTTGATGAAATGAATAAAGTACAAACTGAACTTTTTAACAAGAGCTACCCGGATCAGCCCCACCTGACGGCCCCGGTTATCAATTCATGTCTCATCAACAGATATGATGGCTCTGATAGTCACCTGCCTAACCATTCAGACCGTGAAGTGACCATCCATCCAGAATCATCAATACTTACCTTGTCTCTCGGCCAGATCTGCAACATCAAGTTCACTGAATGTGACTCTAGAACTGAATCCTCTCTTGAATGTCATGATCGCTCCCTGTACATAATGAGCCGTAGATCACAAGAAGTTTACAGCCATATGATTGAGCGTGGCTCAATATCAGATGGTATTAGGTATTCGCTGACCTTTCGTGCTGTTAGCTGGACAAATAAAAATTGCACAAGTTTACATGGTGATTCAAACACAGGCTTCTTGCGTTTTGGGTCTGACAAGAGGGGTACCTTTGGCGAACTCATGCCAGGTCAAAAGTTCTGGGCTCCCAGAATTGAAGATATCAACCCTGTGTCCTGCATGGGTTACGCCAATGTGGTGCTCCACTGTGGGATCAATGACGTGAGACAGCCTGATATTAGTTGTGAGAATGATGTTGCTGATTGTTATAATAAACTCAAGCTGAAAATTAAACAAATTAAGAATCTTAGCCCCAGCACTAGAGCTGTTTTTGTTTGTAAACTGCTGCCTACTAAGGACTTAGAGCTGAATGTAAAAGTTAATGCATTTAATAGACTGATTCATTTCGACCTGCTCCCTACATGTAAGGATGTCGTATGTGTTAAGGGTTTCGAAAAGTTTGCCTGCAACTATGGTCTTGCGGACGAACTGTCGAAACAATTCGACAGACATGGTCGACTTGATACACTTCATCTCAACAAGTTAGGGGCAAGAGTCCTTGCTGGACTCATTAAACAATCTGTATTTATTAGGTTAAATGGCGGAGAAGACAGAAGAAAACACATCGGCAAAGTCAATGGACGGCTATACAGCAACGTGGCTAGTGACCCGCCTGCACCGCAGCGGAGGGGACGGAACGGTTAACAGGTATGGTTAATCGTGTTCAAAAGGAAATTTGTAGTCACTGTCTGAAGAATATTGGTCTAGGGCTTCCCCACTTTGAATGCTTTAACTGCAACAGTATTTTCCATGCCAAATGTTTTAATCCCTCCAAAGCGCAAGTTATCAATGAAAACTTTTACTGCAACGAGTGTAAACATTCCATATCTAAAAAATACAATCCTTTTAAAGTAATGACCGATCCTGAAGTTAATGACTGTGACCCATGTATCCAAAAGATGTCCGATGCTTTGGAAAACTGTAGATCCTACACAATTAAGGACTTTAACACACATATCAAACCTTGTTTTGCAAGCAACTGCTCCATGATTTTCCAGAACATAGATGGCAATAAAACAAATTTTGATGCCTTTAGCATGGAACTAAACCGATTAGCCGAAAAATTTAAAATTATTGGACTTGCTGAAACCAATATTGGAATAGAGGAAAGCACTGTTTACCATCTTGAGGGGTACAATTGTTTCTATCAGGATAAACATATTAATAAAGCGAAGGGAAGTGGAGTAGCATTGTACTTAAAGGACGAACTTAATGGAGTTGTAAACGAAGAATTATCATGGGTAACCAAAAATCTTGAAACCCTATTTATTACTATTCAACATGATGAACCTGTACATGTAGGAGTACTGTACCGTCCTCCTAGTGGGGACTCCTCAGAGGCATTAAATGAACTTAGAAAAATTATTGAATCATGCCCAAAAAAGAACGCTTACATACTAGGTGACTTTAACATTAATCTCCATGATGAAAACAGTAAACTTGTTCAAGACTTTGAAAACCTTATTCTAGGTCTAGGTTTATCACCACTTATTTCTACTTCCACGCATCATAAACCAGGATGTAACGAATCGTGTATTGACAACATACTCACCAACAACATAGAAAACTCTATCTGCTCTGGAACAATTAGTACCTGCATCAGTCACCATCATGCTGTATTCCATATATTCAACTCACCCCTAGTCAGTACTGAGGTTCATGAACAAAACTATTTCCAGTACTATGACTACTGTGCAAAAAATGTGGACAAATTTGTGGAAGTACTAGACAATGAATTAACTAGTGATCCACCAGAAGACTTCAGTAATTTTTTCACTGTATTTAATCATCAACTAGACAGTGCATGTAAACTAAGCCAGCCTAAGTGTTCTAAACGTACTGCTAAGAATAATCCATGGATTACATCTGGCCTGATTGCCTCTATAAATAGAAAACATGAGCTTTATGACCTGTGGAAAAAGGCAGTTAAGAAGAAATGCCTCAACGCCTCTTCAACCAACCATGCAGACTGTCTTACCCTTTGTTTTAATTGTACAAATAAAGTAACACGTCATGAAGAATTTAAGGCACACCGGAAGTTATTAAACCACCTTATTAATTCTGCAAAACGTAAGTATCATGGTGTTAAGATTACAGAATGCGCTGGAGATAGTAAGAAAACTTGGCAGATAATTAATGAACTGCGTGGTAAGAAGAGACGTGAGATTAAACCTAACTTTGTGATAAATAACGAGCGTGTGATTAATCGGCGTGTAATTGCAAATGAGTTCAATAAATACTTTGCCTCTATTGCAGCTAACTTGAACGAAGCATACTCTGGTGACTTCTTAAGAATAAATTCCCTGCCGTCATTTACTGATTACCTGCCCACATCAGTTACGTCCAGTATTTTTCTTTGTGATTGTGACTGTATTGAGATTAAAGAGATCATAAACGAACTAAAAAACGGGAAATCTAGTGACATACCTATTCATGTGATCAAGAAGTCGTGTCAAATTACTGCACCGTACTTAGCTAGATACTTTAATAAATGCATGCAAGAAGGCCACTTTCCCGATGAATTAAAAACTGGGAGAATCAGCCCCATTTACAAAAAAGAAGATGAACAGCTTTTAGAAAACTATAGAGCAGTATCAACTCTACCTGTATTCGGGAAAATTCTAGAAAAGTTAATATATAAGCGGCTCTATAGTTTCCTTACTTCCAAGGGTATAATACATGAAAACCAGTTCGGCTTTAGAAAAGGACACTCCACCAGCCATGCACTGAACTACTCTGTAGAACATATAGAATCGTTAATTAGTAAAAAGCAACATGTCCTAGGGGTCTTTATCGATCTCTCAAAAGCCTTTGACACTCTAGACCACTGTAAACTAACTACAAAATTAAACAACTATGGCATAAGAGGAAATGCTCTGAATCTTATCTCTAATTATTTGTCTAATAGGAAACAATTTGTAAACGTTTTGGATACCAAATCTGATGAATTACCGGTTGAATTCGGGGTCCCTCAGGGTAGTGTATTAGGACCTCTACTTTTCCTACTGTACATCAATGACATATGCAATATAACTAAAAAGGGTAAATTTGTCTTATTTGCAGACGATACTAATATATTTGTCGCTGCCGATTCGAGAAATAAAGCATATGAATTGGCTAATGAAGTACTACAGGCCGTAAACAAGTATATGGGAGTTAACCTACTGCACATTAATGTAAAGAAGTGTTGTTACATGTATTTTTCTCCCTCTAAACGTAATATTAACGAATTAGATGCCGATATAGATAGCCAAAACTTGTCCATTAATAACAAAATAATTAAACGTGTAAGTCAGACAAAGTTTCTCGGAGTAATCATGGATGATAAATTGAGCTGGAAACCACATATATCATCCCTCAACAAGAAACTAAGAAGTGCTTGTGGACGTATCTACCGTATTAAGAAATGCTTACCAGAATCACTATATAAACAAATATATCATTCTCTCTTTGAATCACACCTAGGTTATGCTATTTCTGTCTGGGGAGGTATTCCCAATAATCAGTTAAAACCACTATTTATTACTCAAAAGAAGTGTATCAGGATTCTATTTGGAGACTATGAAGCGTATGTAGACAAATTCAAGACATGTGCTAGAGCAAGACCAATTAATTCTCAACGTCTAGGATCTGAATTCTATGTTAAAGAGTCCACTAAGCCTCTATTCACAAAACATGAATTACTTGTTACAGAGAACCTGTACCGATACCGTTGTTTAATGGAACTTTTTAAGATCATTAAGTCACAAGTACCAATTTCGTTATACTACTTATTCAACATATCAAATAGGAAAGATAATCTGTTCATTACACCCTCTCCAACTAATCAATTTATTTATAAATCTGCATGGCTGTGGAACGAATTCCGTAAAGTTGGCCCGTTAAATTTCACCTCCACATGCGGATCTGTCAAGAATTTACTTAAACAGTCACTTCTAAGAGCTCAAAACCGGTATGGAACTGAGTGGTGTGACAGAAATTTCACTGAATTCTGATTATGAAGTGATATTCATTTGCCTGTTATTCCCACTTAAGCACTTACTGACTGACAAGCTTATCTATGAATACCATGCTTGAATTTAGGTAAACAACATACAACTCATTTCCAAGTTACGCTGAGCGCAACCGCCGAATGACTCAGCAATATTGAAACGCGCGCGCATAGCATTGCGCGCCGATGCTATGCGCGCGCGTTGTCGGCCGAAACTTGGGAAGTTCCCGCTCTAATATTCAGACGACAGTGATGACTCATTAAGAGCACTAATTTCGACCACTTTCCCGGTCGAACCATACCAAATCAAACTAATTGACCCACGTGTATAGCCAATGTCCTGGCGGTGCTGAGCCGATGTAAAACTCTTCTGTAAACTCTTTTGTCTCTTGTAACTTGTTTATATTTCATATTTTAGTTATACTGTGTACTGTGTACAATAGTTATAGCGTATAGTGTGTGTAGTGTGTAGTGGTTATTTTGTTGTGACGTGTCACTTTATACTTTGCTACCAACGTCAGCCTTGACTTACCATTTATTGTAATTGGTACAGCATATATCAAAACTAAAACACTGTTTTCGATCTGACGGGTGATGGGCTCTCTCTGATGGGACACAGTTCTAGGGGGTACCCGGGGTACGAGTTAACGAATAGTGTTCGTGTCCTTCCACAATCCCCTCTCATTGTGTTTTTGACGGAGGAGAAGCCTAGTTCATCCGTCTGCATCGCTTAATCGAGTTGAAAATTTAGCCAATAACAAAGTAAATTACATGTTAGACTGATAGCAGGTGTAGAGTTTATAACATACAAATTCTAAATTTTTGACGGCTGACGATGGTAAGTCACTACGTTTAATTCGGGACTTTTATAGTCTTAAGTCTTGGAGCTCAAAATGTCTCGTGCTGTGGGCCGTATAAACGGCGCACACCACCGCCCCGCCTTACTTCACGGTTGCGGGGCGGAGCTGGTGCCGTTTGTCTCGGCCTCAAGTGGCGAGTGCTTGCCCATCGAATACACGATTGAAACACTAATTATTTATTGGAATTCTACAGTTTCCAAAACGAAGTACGAAGATATATTAACTTTGAGCTTTGTTTTGGCGACTGCTTCATCGATGGGCGAGTAGGTATTTGTTGTTTAGCAGTGTTGAATATTGGAGCAATTATATAATGTATATCTCCATCATAATATAGGCTAGTGTAAAGATATATAATCAAGAATACAAACAAACGCGAACGGTATTAGTAACTCGCTAGATTATAGATGTTATTTAAACACATATGTCTACGTCAATTATTACTAAAATTAATATTCTTTTTGCTTTAATATAATTACATTGTACATGTCACATGGATTAATGGATTAGTTGAATGAAACGTGTGCTACAAATGTCTACGCCTCACGCAGAACTGCGTACCGCTCAGTACTAATTCATGCTTGAGCGGTACTGCTGTTCACAGTGGCGCGCACTCAATTTAATCACAATAAATAACGAGCGCGCGGTTTTTTGGAATCTCTCCATTATTATATTAATTAGATCGCAGTGCTCACGGCCTGTACTGAGTAAACGACAGAAATATCTTTTAAATTATTTTGCTTCTGAAATTTTGGCTCTAGTAATTAAGAAATGTGACATGTAATTGTAAGATAACAATTAAATAGATCCTGTGCGCGGCGCCTACAGCTGACCTACGAATTTCTGAACAATTTTAAATTGTGGCTGTGTGCGCGGCGTACTGTATATGTGTTTGAAATTGAAATTTGAATTTATTTATGAATATAACATTATGTATTGATTATTTGTGGTAAATAAAAATTTTTCTTTCCTAAATTTTTTCTTTCCTAACAAAATTTTGTTGCTTGACGACTGTTACACAGGTTTCCATCGGGTTACAATTCACTCTAATTCATTAATATAGCATATTAGTCATCTGAGCGGATCAATCATCAACATAAGTGTTATTTTGGTGAAACAAGCTTAATATATTACCGAGTGATAATATTCAGCAAGTCAAAACAAATTAAATTATGATATCAGCTGATAAACTCGTGGCTGATTATTTAACAGTTGATTGACACTTAATGGTAAAAAGCGAAAACATATAGTTGAGAAAAGATGTTACTTTACTTTTACATTCAAGAAGCAACTAAGATCAAGATTGTGGTATGCTTTTAAAGAATCCTATATCAAATCAAATGCTCGATAATCGATGGTGCTGTAGATGTGTCGAGTATTCGAGTAAGCATCAAAATGTATTAGTTTATGTTAGATAATAACTAAGATGATACAGACTATTTTATAACAGTCATTAAAGTTGGCATACGATGCAATAATATGACGTGACATGATTGATGATACGCATCGTTAACACGTAACAAAATTGCGCAAAATATGAAATGATCTACAACCAAACCACATACAGATCGACGGCGACACCTCAGATGCGCGCAGAATTTTTCAAGTTCTGCACGCCTAATATAAACGATTATCACGTGCGCAAAACACCACTCTGGGATAACAATAAAGTACAACAATTACATTGTAGGCAGTAGGGAAATTTGATCGTGCGTGGTGTTACCGCGGCGAAATTCTTGTTAGCTATTTATGATCGGAATAGAGAATTAGGGTATGGAACCCTTTTAGGTATTTATGATCACTAACAAATTTTAAAAAGTAAGTGAACACATTCAATTAAATCAAGTGGTGCAATTAGCAGAGCACAATACATAGGTAACGGAAATGGTCCATTGCTACCTATATTTCTGAACTTTAAACAATCAAATATATACACAGTCTAGATCTTAACTTGGAGCCACAAGGCCAAGGGTAATTTTTGATTGTTAAGGGAATTTTTTGAATTCTTAAAGGGTTGATTTTATATAGGGTCATTGCTATATTATGTGTATATTGTTTGAATAATTTTATAAAAAATATATACACATAATTTTCAAAACATATTTTCTACTCCATCATCGGGGCAGGGATGAGGTTGTTGGAGACTTCCGATAGAGGGGCCTTATGTTTGTTTTCCATCTTCTTTCCTCTATAACCTCATATAGCAATGAGTGTTGTTCTTAGCTTCGCAAATCTTATCCTTGCTCTCACATGTTTAACCACATCACAATACCTCTCTTTCCTCTTTCTGGCTATGAGATCTGCCAGTCTGTTGACAAACACTCTGTCGACATACTATATACCTCCAGATGTGAGAAATACAGCTGGGGTGAAGGTTGCCTTCTCCACATTCAACACTCTCTAATTACTCATAGTTTCTTGATAGCTTCACCCCCGTCCAAGGCAAGATGCACATTTAAGTATCATCAGCTGAGCATAAGGGATAAATTTAAATTATTTAACCTTTTGGTGCTGTATAAAAATTACATTAATTTATTATTATTATTATTATCCCTCTTCTCGTTCTTGTTCATTTCGTACACTTCTTGAAGAGTCTTTGTCCTGTCTGATAAGCAATTGGGGTGTGAAATCCTAATGTCAAGAAAGCTGAAAGGTCTTACCAAATGGACTCCAAACTCCTCTAGCAGATACGTCAAGCCGAGCTTGATCACCTGTTTTAGTCTTGGGGTTGAGACAGTCACCCTTGTTTACCTTCTGTAGCTGGGGCTCAACTTTCACATCATGACATACCTCACGCAGGGGATTTTGTCTATCATATTGAACCCCCTGGAGTAAATATATGTTATTACTAAGATGTTTCTTACTTAGGAATGCTTATCGTGAGTTGGTAAACATGCCATGATTCAATGTCAAACAAGAAAGAATTGTTTCTGCAAATCCTATCACAAGACAAAATCAACCAAGCTGAATTCGAAAAAGCTTGTTTCCAAGGTAAGTGTTTCGACGGTTTTTATGATTGTAAAAGTTCAGTAAGGTGTGCAAAAAATCTATAATTCAATGCATTGAAAACTAAAAATTTAATCTTTTAATGGCTAAGATTTATCCAATGTTTATAGATAGGGTAAGTGTAACATCATATATATATACTCACTTTATCTCCAGGAGTTCCTGATGGAAGTGGACTGAGAAGTACCTGCTGGAAAATCCTGTTAAATTACCTTCCATTCTGCACGTCAGATTGGGATGATGTGCTGACAAAGCAAAGAAATGCATACAATCAGTTCATCCGAACTATGATTGTGGACCCAAATCAAAGCCAGGACATATCTGACCACCCATTGTCAACTTCTACCAACTCTACCTGGTCGGAGTATTTCAAGGAAAATGAGGTGCTCTCTCAGATTGACAAAGATGTTCGCAGACTTTGCCCAGACCTTAGCTTCTTTCAACAGCCTACCAAGTTTCCTGCATCCTTTTGCAGCCAAAGCCTTAGGACTAGAGTAGAGCAGGTGAATAATGAATAGTAATATAGAGCCCTTTTTCTTAGTCTGTAAATTTGCGGGATAAGAAGAGTTTTACTGTACCTTAAAAAACAGCATAACATGTGTTTGTTTTACATCCTGGGATATTGATTGGATGTGAAATGATTGTAATCTGTAATTTTTATATTTTTACCAGGCCAATTTGCAAGCTATGCAAGTAACTCAATCTAAAGCTGGAGGATCTCAGTTGATAAAACCGAAAAAGAAGTACAGTGACGATGATTGCTACCAAATACTTCCTCAAGGCCAGGTAAGGAAAGAAAACTTTGTTGGAAGGAAAAAAGAAACTATGGCAGTCAGGTAAATCACAGTACAACTTGCACACTGAGCAACTTGTACTGTCATTTGCAATGCACAGTGCACACCTGGATTACACTGAAAGGGACATGGGATGGACACATGGGATCTTGATTTGAGTAACCTATTAAAATGTTTAAGATTAAAAAGGGGGCTATGGCCTGACATTATTTTTCCCATGAATGACATGAACAATATGTCATGGCTAGCTCTATTTCCTATAGATGCATCTTGATATATTGTCTGTATTTTGTCATCACACCTCTAATTTTTTTCAGGAAGCTCATTGGGAGGTTTGTGAGCGGATACTCCATATCTTTGCTCTCCTTAATCCAGGTACGTTCAGATTTTAAGAACACTATTTGTATTGCCATCGACAAAAATATCTTAAATTACTTATTAAAAAGTACAGGAGACCACCAATTTGGGACATGAGGGACGTGATCATACTCATCATATAGGTATTTCCGTCAGGCATAGCATATGTGCAAGGTATGAACGAAATATTGGGTCCAATCTACTATACCTTTGTAACTGATAGCAAGGAGTCGGAAGTTCAACATGCTGAGGCTGATGCGTTCTTCTGTTTCACTGGTCAGTTAAACTGCCAATATTTAGATGCTATAAAGGATAAGTCTTTTAAAATGTATATTGATAGAATGTTTGAGTTGAAGTGTTATATTATTGAGATGAAACAATTTTAATCTGATTTCTAGACTGTTCAAATTCTATCACAAAACACTCAAAATGTGCTGTTAACGTAGAGCACAACTATGATGTAAATTTCAAGCAGAGATATATGATAACATTACTGTATAGTGTATAGTAAGTGGCATCTCTCACAGGACTCATGTCAGAGATCAAAGATAACTTTATAAAGATCCTGGATAACAGTCAGTGTGGTATAACCCACAATATGGATAGTTTAATGACAATGCTCTATCAAAACGACCCTCAACTGCACGATGCAATTACAGAAAGAGGTATCAAGCCACAGGTGTGAATTATGAGCATTCTTTTTTATATCATTGATTTGTTAATAATGATCTGATTTAATGATATCTTGCTGATTGACTTTCTGTACTAGAATGTATACTGTATAGTTATAGTTGTAATCCATACCAACTTTTCAGTTCTTTTCATTTCGTTGGTTGACTCTGCTATTGTCCCAAGAATTCCTTTATCCTGAAATACAAAGATTGTGGGACTCCTTCTTTGCTGACTCAGATAGGTTATTTCACGTTTTATTTTGTTGATGAAGTATGAAGCATATTTACGAAAAAGCATTAATTGATATGTTATTATATACCTGCTGAGGAGTTTATCGTAGTCAGAAACGAACACTGTGTTCTTCAGGTTTAAGTTTCTCCTTTACTTCTGTTGTGCTATGTTGGTGGCACAAAGAACTCGCCTTATAAACGGAGATTTCATTGATAATATGAAGGTTTGAACATTCATCATCATTATACTATGTAAATTGTGCATGTCAAATATTACAAGATGGAATTTTCCTAAATATACAACACCTAGCTATAGTATTTTAGTTAAATGTTGATCCTAAATTTATGAAATGTAGTGAATATTTTTAAATGTAACCTTAAATGTGTTGCTGACAGGTGCTGCAGAGATACCCAATAGAAACAGACATTTACCAGCTCCTGCAACTAGCATGCCAGATAAAGGACGGAAAACTGATCTTACACACTGTGCCTACTAAAGAGAACCCTGTTGTTCCCAACAACTCCTCTTCTGGTAGAAGTGGTATTCTTGGGAGCTTGTTTTCTAGGGCCAAAAACAGATGATATTATTTAATATTAATATGGTGAAATAGTGTAGGATACTATGAAATTGTATCGAGACTGACAATTGTCTTAGCACATTTGATTTCAGCTCTTTTGTTTATTATTTAGGCGTATCTTTTGGAAAGCGAATTATTCAGCGTCGTTTTATATTGATTTAAGCAAGAACTTAGTCTTTATCGTAGGGTAAATTGTTTGTTGATGCACAAGAGACAGTCATGTATATGTAACTTAAATCCTAATGAACGTTTATTTCTGTTGTATTTGATTAAATGTTATGATTTTGAGTACAAGTATTTTTAAACAGAAAATGTCATTTTTTAGATAGTCCGATGTCGAAATCTTAGAAATCTATCAGAAGATTGAAGATTTGGAAATTAAATTAGAAAATGTTTTGCTGTTTTTATGATTTTATCGTGCGGTTTCGAAAGAAGATTGAAACTTTTTAGGATAAGCTCTTACAGCTAATTAATGTTCAAACAATTTAATTAACACCATTTTCACTGTCTGAAATGATAAAGTAATGGTCTGTTATTACAGTATTATTGTAGTTAAATGTATCTTTCAATTTGTCTTTGATTTAATGTATCAAATTAATGTATTTTTAATAGATGATCACTTTTAGTAGGATCTGTATTGGGTTTTATATAAACACACAAGCTCACAAAACTAGAACGTTATTTTCATTGTTAATACGTTCCATGTATCCTGAACAGTGTATTGATTGATGTATTTTATATGGAGTTTCAAAGATTAATATTAAATATTCTTTATACAAGCATTCGAATTTGTCATTACTTAAAAGTTGAGTTCACTTGTACAAATAATTAGCTAAGTAGCTGGCTAAACTTGAATATTGAATGTAACCCGACCCCTCACGATAATATACCCACGGAAATTTGCCCGAATCTAGTTATTGGCTTGAGCTTATTTATACATTATGTTGACTTCAGGAACACCTTGTAATTTCTTACATAATTATTCTTCTAGGAATCGTGATTTTCCAGGGTTCCAAAATTATCATCAATTGCAATAATTTTCAACATAATTCAACTCTTACACCCACTTTTCAACCACTAGATATAATGTTAAAATGAGGGGATGATATTATAAGGATGTTAAGATGAGCCGTCATCTTGGGGACAATGCTGGCTACGCTGTCACCTCTGTAAGCTAACTCTTCAATACGATTCGTCTTTGAATAAATATCAATACAAATGTTTGGCTACCTCCTTGCTTCAAACCTTGCTTTTCAAAGCCAATGGTATACCCCGATTGGGATTTATAACACCCTAATTTTCCTCTGAAGTTTCCCTCCTAATTTTCCTCTGAAGTTTCCCTCCTAATTTTCCTCTGAAGTTTCCCTCCTAATTTTCCTCTGAAGTTTCCCTCCTAATTTTCCTCTGAAGTTTCCCTCCTAATTTTCCTCTGAAGTTTCCCTCCTAATTTTCCTCTGAAGTTTCCCTCCTAATTTTCCTCTGAAGTTTCCCTCCTAATTCTCCTCTGAAGTTTCCCTCCTTATTATCCACCTAATTTTACAGAAGGAGGGATACCTTGATAGATACAAGAACTTTTTAATGGGGTGGGGTACACGCTTTGTCAAGATGGATAGGAGTTACTTACACCACTTTGATGCTAAAGACGTAAGTGTGTAGATCTAGTGTGAAATGGTTGTAGTGCGCGAGTGTCATACCTCACATGAATATAATAAATCTCCCCTGAAAGTGCCCTACAAATTATGCAAGTCGTGTAAATTTAAGATGTTTTTAACTTAAAAATAGGAGCATTTGAAATGATGACTTAATAAGTTGCTTTGAGTCTGGAAGATGCTGACACATTCCCATTTCAGGCCCCAAACCCGGGTGGATCTCTAGTACGAGGAGAGATAACGAGGTGCTGTATTAACCATTCATTTAAGGGAGCAGCAGGACCTTATGTGTTTGATGTGGTGTGTAGAAACGGAGCGACCTGGTACCTCAGGGCTAAATCTTGGGTAATATAATTAATAATATAAGGTTTATAAAATTACTTCACTGTTTAATGTTGTTAAGTAAGCAGATGAAGATACACATGTAATAAGTTGTGTGTTCTTCAGGAGGATATGGCTGAGTGGATGTTGGCGATATTTCCCAACAGTAGGCAGGAACTAGACAGAGTGAGAGGAGGGACCTCCTCAGCTCTTCTCAACCCTCCTCCGCTTCTCCCCCCACCCATGGCTCCTCAGAATGTGCAACAGGTAACTTGGGAATCAGCAGATCTTTGTGGAATTCAATAACATGAATGAAGAGAAAATTAACAATTTAAGTTACACTGAAACGATTTAAATTGTAAACTGAACCATTTGACCATGATACCTCAGCAGAATCAAGACTTTGGGGTGTACACCAGTGAACCTCCAGTGAAGAACCCTAACGCAGTGCCAGACAACAGTGGAGCTGGAAGTAGTGGGGGTAAGTGGCAAGAACCTGGTCCTAACAACACTAACACTCCTCCTTCTTACTCCGACCTTTTTGATAAACACGACCCTGCTGTGCAGGGGAAACGGTAGATTTGAGGTTTTGAAAACTTGTGGGGAATACTTTGTAACATCTTGATCCGCTTTGTCTGTTCTAAACTTAGAGTTCTTTATAGTTTATACAGCCATTCAAAACATATGGATCCGAGCCACTGGCAAATATTTTCATGTGTAATTTGAGCATAATATGTGCAGACTTAGAGGAAACAATAGGTGACTAATGGAACCCGAACTGGTGGTATTGTCCAATAACAAACCAGCAATTATGTCACGTGACCTGGTTCAAACACTACGAATAATGTTCTCACACAGTGCTGTGCCTAACCTTTTCAGACTTGTTTATTGTATTCGGTAACATATAGTTGTAAGTTTGTACATTCTACTTTTCATCACGGACCCACGAAAGTCTGGCTTATAATTTCACATGGCACAATTTACAATTAGCAAGTTTTATGTTTACTAAAATGCACGAAATGTAACAGTACTCTTCATTGTACACTGTTTTGCGTAAGAGTTGCGGCTTTCATCCTACCGTTACAGGAAGAATCGTCATTTAAAATCATTTGTAGTTATAAACGTTTAAAGTAAACATCGCAACAAACAGTTTAAGACTATGCAGCCTTTAATTTTAGAGTTAACATTAATGCGTTATAGGAGTTTGCTTAGCATCCCCTGAATTTGTAATAATATTTAAGAACAATTTCGTTAAGTGTAATCAGTTCTCTATCCACAAGTCAGTCGAGTTATAATGTAGAACTTTCCTTTGTTAATGTTTTTGTAAATATTCGGATGACATTTTTTGATTTACGGGGATTGATATAGTATTGTAAAATGTGGAATATTATTATAATTTAGTTGTTAGTTGTTTGTATACTGTTGTTTATGCTTATTTTATGTTTAATTTGGTGTGTTTAATCATACACAGACTACTTTTCTAATTTTATGCGATGTTTAAATCCTCATTTTATGATTCATGTAGGATTGATTTCCACGTGATCAAAAGAAAATTATAATTTTCTTTCAGCAATAATCAGACGATTTAATTATAATGTTTCTCTCATAGTAAAGACACTATGCGTTAGATTTAACCAATTATTTTGTTCAGGGAGCCATGGCTGATTTCGAACCTGTATCACTACTGGACATATCCACAATTCGTTTCTGCACCTTCTGTTTCAAGGCCACTGACTCCAAACAAGTTCACCATGACAGCTGTTCTATTGGACAGATAACTCAACCTATCCCGTCCTACTGGCCACCAAATTGGAATAATGTAAAATGTGTGAATTTCAAATCTTTCTCCTGCTATTTGCCTGGGTGTAAGAAACAATTTAGCTCTTCAAAGCGTATAGACTTATTTTCACATCTGAATAGTAGACGTGAACTTGCTGAATGTTTACGTGTAGATAAGGAGGAAAGCGAGATTGTGGATGAGGGCTCCAACCATACTCAGTCTGATGAGGTTACAGAAATTCAACCTCTCTTAGTTATTGATGACTTAATGAGCACTGAAGTAGAGGAAGTTGAATTTGAAGTAGAGGAAGTTGAAGCTAAAGTAGAGGAAGTTGAAGCTGAAGCTGAAGTAGAGGAAGCTGAGGAGGATGAGGCAGTCAGTTTTGCGATCAAAGAAGAGGATAACCAGATGGAATTGGTTCTGAATGATCTAAATGAGGAATACGACTCAATAGACTGCAAGAACCCTTGCGGGCACCCCTTGGTCTCAACACAGTCCATTGATTCAGAAGAGGTTCTCAAAACAGAACCGATGGAGTTTAAAGACTGTTTTGTGACCGACTCCCATGGTGCTTCAACCTCTTCATCTTCAAAAGGCAGACCTAACAAACATTCTCAATACACATGTGGGTATTGCAAATTCCTAACCTCTAAAACTAACGTTATAAAGAGGCATTACAAACAAAATCACGGAACGAAACTATTGTATCTCTGTGAGCCTTGTTTCTTCGTCTCTCATTACAAGTATACATACCTGAAACACTGGAGAATTGGACATACTAGTGACCCAGAGCAGCTGGTTGAAGCTGTTCAGTTGGATTGTCTAGAAGAGGAATGTGTATCTGACGGGGAAGAGTTAGTCGTGCACAACGAGACAAACTACAATAGTTACGTTATGGCTAAAACCCAACAAATAGTCAAATGTAAGTTCTGCTCATATAAAACAAGCTACAGGAAGCAGCTGGTAGTGCACACCTCCTCTTCACACTACACTTCCATCAGTGAAACTCTGGTGAATGTTGGAGATGATACTCGCACTTACCAGTGTATTACTTGTAGTACTAATACTGAGTCCAAGCTGGCTGCAGCCCACCATTATGTGTCTGATCACGTGAGGTTTCCGACCATGAGATGTGATCTTTGTGAAGTTGATCTTAAAGATAAGACTTATTTCTCCTCTCATCTCAGGGGAGAGAAGCACAGGGAGTTCTATAGACGGTCTCTGAGGTGTCCTAATTGTCAATTTGCGACTCTGTCCAAAAAAGCTTTGCAGAAACATCAATCTGTGACTCACAGCATAACCAAGCCGAGAGGCCCGAGAGGAAAGGGTGATAAATTTGCTTGTGATAAGTGCAAATTTGTATCAAAGTTTAAAGGGACCGTTAATGCCCACAAAAAAAAGGTTCACGGAATCGAAAAAGATGAAAACGGCCTCTACAAATGTGGTGAATGTAACTTTCAGACCTCCAATAAAGGGAAACTGATATATCACACTAGGAGTGCACCGAATCACACTGTGGCTAAGAACAGTGTTAGGTGTGATATTTGTGATTTTGCTGCGTTAAATACTACTGGGATGATTTATCACAAGAGGGTGATCCATGGAAGTTCCGAGTAAGAGCTTAATTTACTGAGGTTTTTACTCAAATTTATAAAAAACTCTCATTTAAATTGTTCAGAAAACTGTTAATTGTTATATCAGATTAGATTCTAGATATATCTATTTGTTTTCTTTTATTTTATCGGATGATACTGTATCAAATTAATTACATTGCAGTTATTCAAATGAAAATATTTAATATTAATTATTTATCAAAAAATATTTGACTTCACCAGTTTAACCTCCTGCATGATAAATAAAAGCATTCGAATTTTAATTGCTCGTAGTTCAGGTGGTTTACCTCAGGTAATACTCGAATATTTTCATTTTTCTTGTAATTTTGCAAATGTTGAAGCATGTATTTAAATTTTGCATGTCATTAAATTGATATATTATTCAAATTTACATAGAATAGTGGATCTATAATCTACAGCCACAATAACCTCATTTTAAATTTACTTAACATTTTAGATTTTGATTCTAAATTTATTTATGTTGAGAATTAAAACTATTTTGAATAATATTATCATCTTTAATACTAGATCTTTAATACTTGATTAATTGAGATTGGTATCTTTTGTACTTTTATACATGTTGGTGTGTACTAATAATTTATAGACAACGTTCACATCTAAAATTGTTGTCTCATTGAATTATCAAGTTGTTGAAAGGTGATACGAAGTGACATTAATTGGCAATAATTGGCGAACAGTATGGTGAGAACTGTATATGTAACATCTTACATATCTCTACTATAATTCAAAGAATTATTTCTGATGTAGAATGTAGAATGTATGTACGACCGCCCACGTGCAAATCAAACGAAAAATATGAACTTGCGTAGTAACTGCATGGTAACGAGAGTTATTACACAGTTGCACGCACGTGCACGTGCAATGATTGTTCAAACGTCATTTTGATCGGTTTTGTTGATATTACGCTGTGTTTAGTACGAACAACATTTTAATTGGCTGTATCTTCGGTTGTGTAGGATATTTTTTGACGCGATTTAAACTTACTAACAAAAAATACTATTAGCTTCCTCCCTGTGACCACGGGTTTTCTAGTCTCTACTATAATTCAAAGAATTATTTCTGTACGACCGCCCACGTGCAAATTAGACGAGAAATAGGAATTTAGGTAACAACCAAAAGGTTCCATAGCAACGGTGTTTTAATGCACACATGCACGTGCAAAGATTGTTTTAACGTCATTTTGATCGGTTTTGTGGTAATTAAATTACGTTGTGTTTATAGTGTTTTATATTTAAATCGGCTGTATCTTCGGTTGGGATGGATATTTTTTGATGCGATTAAAACTTTCTTTCAAAGAAAGAAAGAAGACTACTAGCTTCGTCCCTGTTACCACGGGCTTTCTAGTTGTATTATAAAGAACACTAACTAATTATAACAATAGGATAGAAGTATGAAGGTAATACTGTGTACTCTAGTTCTACTGTCACTACTTGTGGTGGTAACATCTGTAGACCAGCTGCAAATTGGTGAGTTTCAGTTAATTGCTTCAGAGATTACAATGTCAATAGGTGAATTTATTTGGAATGAATATTTTTATAGTGATCCAATTTCGCTCTTTTAAGTTGTTCTTTAAAGTTGGGTTTATCTGACAATTTTTATAAATCTTTCGCTTCTAAGTATATTTCTAACTAATTTGTTTAAACTTATAAACTATTTTCAGGAGTAAAGAAAAGAAATCAATGTGAAAGGAAAACTAAAAAAGGAGATCAGTTAGCTATGCATTACACAGTAAGTATACAGTGAACAGCTGGGGGGGGGGGGGGGGGGGGGATAGCACACACCACACAGCTAGTGGATAGCACACACCACTCATTATTTTGGATCTCATTTCGAGAACATGATATTTGAAATTTGGCAGTTAAAAGTTTAATAACAATTTGTATGTAGTTAGTTGCCAAGTTAATGTTTCGTAAGAGTGATTCACTGTTCATGTTAAATAAACACGGTCAATATAATGTATTTAGTCATATGATGTATCGTAGTCCCTAGGGCCTAGAGATATAGTCAGTCACTTCACCCCGCCAGGTACCACACAGTGACTTGTCAGTCACTTCACCAACTCTAACTTTACAGTTAAATACTGTTTATATAATACCTATTACCTTCCATACTCTTGAAACTGCTATCTTTAACGTGTCCGTACTCCGTTATGATCAGACTAATTGTTTGTTAACGAGATGTTAGGAGAAGTTTCTAGTTCATATGCCGTGATGTGTGTAGAGAGGTGGGGAGTTAATGTATAGTGTATACAGGCCAGAATTCACATCAGTAATTAGAGATTTAGCTCGTCAACTGCCACATGTTTAGTACGTGTATCATGAAAGTTAAGGTAGAAGGATGTTTTGCCACACGGCCCTGTATAATATGTGTGGTAACTGGTAAAGTAGTTTAGCAAGTTTGCAGGTGGTGGTCTAACCACTAAGAGCTGTATGAAGTGTGGTGTGTGGTGTGTGGTGTGTGGTGTGTGGTGTGTGGTGTGTGGTGTGTGGTGTGTGGTGTATGTTGTGTGTGGTGTGTGGTGTGTGGTGTGTGGTGTTGCAAGTTTGTAACTTGTGCTGTGTGTGTAACATGACGCTAGGTGCAGCGGTCCCAGTGTTTGGTTTCATCTAATTGTCACTCCCATCTCACGACTGGATTAAACCATGGTTTTAGGCGTTTTAATTTAGATAATTATTATATTTTTTGGAATTAGTGTGTAGATTAAAACATCAAGACTAACGCTTCGCCAGAAAGATCTCCTGTACAATTGTGAATGTATAAAGTTGTAAACATATCTATTAATCATATCTGCAAAACCTTAAAATATGGGTGCGAACAATCTTCTCGTATTTAACTAGTCCGTTATACTTCACAACTAACGGGAATTGGAAGTGCCCATAACCGCTCTTATTTTCTAGACAATTCATGTGTCACCTTTATACACCTTTATACACCTTTATACACCTTTATACACCTTTATACACCTTTATACACACCTTTATACACCTTTATTACAGGGAACACTGAAGTTGGATGGAAGTAAATTCGACAGTTCTCGAGACAGAGGAACACCGTTCGAGTTTACTATTGGGGTGGGACAAGTTATCAAGGGGTGGGACCAGGGACTATTGAAGTGAGTATTCTAGTTTACTATTGGAGTGGGACAAGTTATCAAGGGGTGGGACCAGGGACTATTGAAGTGAGTATTCTAGTTTACTATTGGGGTGGGACAAGTTATCAAGGGGTGGGACCAGGGACTATTGAAGTGAGTATTCTAGTTTACTATTGGGGTGGGACAAGTTATCAAGGGGTGGGACCAGGGACTATTGAAGTGAGTATTCTCAATACACTGAAATATCACTGACTACTAAGTATCACTGAAATGAAATGATTTCTTTTCCGCCTAAGCTTGGTATTCTAGTACTAGGATTATTGTTAGTTCGTATTTATAGTTGGTAACCTGAACGTTTCAGTATGTGTCCTGGAGATGAACGTAAGCTAACAATCCCTCCCCATCTTGGCTATGGAGACCGTGGAGCCGGCGGCAAAATTCCAGGTACATTCCTTAAAGTATTATACATTATACATTCCTAAAAAGTATTATACATTTTACATTATACATTCCTTAAAAGTATTATACGTTGTACATTATATATTCCTTAAAAGTATTATACATTGTACATTATACATTCCTTAAAAGTATTATAAGTTTGTTTTGATTGTTCAATTGAAAACTGAGAGGTGCATGTATAAAGTAGCAATGATTGGCATTAGAAGTCTTTATCAGAAGCGAGCCTGACGTTAATCTGGCCACTTGATTAATAGCTCATTATGACCTCGTTTAATGCTATAAGCTTTTTCTAATTTACATTATCAGGGGGCGCTTGGCTTGTGTTTGATGTTGAACTTATCGCGATATTGAATGCAAATGGTGAAACATCTGCATCGAGTGCCGATCGAGTTCTCAACAGATTATCGAGGGTATATATAAGTGCTACTCCCAAATTAATTTTCGTCCAAATCACTCACAACCACCAAAAAAGGAGTTTTGCTTGTTCGATTTGCACGGAAATTGTTTTTGAAGTAGCCCTTATATGTAACTTCGATAATCTGTTGAGAAATCGGTGAGCACTCGATGTTTTGAAATTTATATGGGGTCCTTAAAGCCTGTTTCTAAATTTACATTTTCAGGCGGTGCTTGGCTTGTGTTTGATGTGGAACTTCTCGAGATAAAGAATGCGAAGAGAGAACTTTAGACTCCTCTGTAAACGGACAAGCAATTTAATGGCTCAAGAAAATTGAAGACCATGAATTACTTTTCGCTTCAAAAAGAGTTATATCTTTATATTTTGCACTATATTTTTATTTTGGGTATTTTGTTTGTTCATTTGAACATTGGGTAACCTTGATTAAAGTTTATACGTTGATCGTATTTGATTTAACAATATTTCTACCGTGGGATAATATTTATGGTTATATTAATTCTTATTTTATTGAACGAAACACGGATTTCATTTTGAGTAAACTATAAAATTCAAATTTAAAAAACTATAAATCAAAATAGTTCCCATCTCGAAATTCCTTCGTTATTTGTTTGTCTCTTTAGATTCTGTTATTTACTTCACTTCTTCAGACTCTACAGGTCTTTACATAGCTTTATGATAAAAGTACTACTATACACCAAGCTAATCTCTTAGATATTATTGCCAACTTGATCCGATTGATTCAGGTGTATTTATTTGAATAATACAACATTGCTAAATTCATGCATCAATCTTTTAAGATTTACCTTAGTTAAATAAAATTGTCTAATTTCGCTTGTTACATAAACTTTAAATGATAATCGAACCCATTTACACAAATTAAAATAAATACCTAACAAACTATTACTGATCAGATTCAATATGATTTAAAATACCTAAAGAAACTAAAAATGGTATCTTTAGCATAACATTAATCATAACTTGCTAACGAGTAGAATCACCTCATAGTTCTTTTAGGGCGCTTTCATTACACTACTGACTACGGCCACGGATCGATCTTTGGGGTCGGGTCTGCAATCATAAATACAGTTTGTTTATCGGAAATGAGGGCCCTGTGACCACAACTCTTACTTTTCTTATCTTCACATATTATCTGATTTCGGCCCTATATACCGTCTTTTTCTTCACATTCTAATCTCTGGCCTTTAGTATTTCTCAGATCATATCCGAATATCTACTATACTCCTTGAAATGATATTAGATCTTAATTTTAGTCGAAGTTTATATTTCCTACTTGACTAGTTTGATCGTCTTTAATGAAGATGAGTGTAGGTATAATGGCTAAAGCAGCAGGGATTCCGAGAATGAGAACTAGTGTCAAATCGCTGAGGTATTTCCAGAGCACAGAGGTGAGAATCAAATAGAACATACACCCTACAACCTGAAATATTATCAAAATGAAAGAATGTCGAACACATTTCACGGAAAACGTGTATTACCTTACAGTTTTAATCGTTAATTTATCACTTCCCTACTCATCAGTTTCAAATTAATTGCAACGTTACTTACTTCCCCTGTAAGAATAATGCCGTATTTGAAGGCAATGTTGCTAGTTCCCATAAACTTCTTTACTGAGGGTGGTAGCAGTGTCATCATTCCAGGCATAATGGATAACATGGCTGTTACGATGACGTAGCTGTACTTGTTCTTTCTGCACGGGTACATCAACGCCTGAAGTTGCACCATGAGTCGGTGAGTTGTTAGTGCAAAATTTTAATTTTATAAACAAATTGTATAGGGGCTAGAGTTCTCATTCAGTTCAATTTTAATTTTAAAAGAGCGTCGGAAATGTTAGATTCTTTCCTTAAATCACACAATTTAATGGACGCGGAAGTGTTACATTTTTAAGTATTGTAAAACTCCGCCATTTGCCAACTAGCCTGCCTACAAAACTCTTGCCACAGATGTAAGGTCTTTTCAAGATTTTTATGGAACGCGCGAAAATACACTTTATATGGTAGTGCATCATTGTTAAAGTTTGTTGTGCGCGGCTTTTGTGATCTTTTTATCAGACAAATTGATCACGCCAGCTATGGTTGGTTGTCTGGAATGTACATACAAGTATAGTTTAGTTAGTTCGTACTAAAGAATGTTGATGTTATACATGACTGGCGGATGTTTGCTAACTGGGTCTTAGGAATTTGATAATATTAGGATCACTATCAACATTTTACCTGCAGTAAGGACGAAAGTGCATTTCCTGTTACGAACAGAGTTCTCAGGCTCACTTTGTCCCCCAGTGTTCCCCAAACTATTCTTCCAACAGCTCCCACTATTGGTATTAGCATTCCTGAATGTGCACCAGTAAAGAATTCATTTAAAATGACAAATGTATAGACAGGAACAGAAATATAATCAATTATGATTAGTTCATGCTTTCAAAAGTTTATTAATTTGTATATTAACAAATCCAAACCTGCTAAATTAAGGAAACCATCATCGTCAATCTTCTTAAGACCATAATCTTTAAACAAGTCAAATGCACACATACTACTCGTCCCTATCCCTATCTGGAATTTGTGTTTCAAAAAACCTTATAAGTTTTATTAGGAATGACATTTTAAGTAACTAGATATGTTACACCGTAGCTTTTTAGGAATAGTTTGAACCCACGATCTAATATATTAATTATTACCGTTGTAAAGAATAAAGTAAATCCGGTCATTGAGAAAATGCTTTGTTCGTTTTCTTCGATCTCTTTGACTTTACTCATTGAGTGATGATCTCCGCTCTTTTCTAGAAGCCCCTCTAACTCTTCTTCGTGATCTTTGGCTGTTTTTGCTGTGGTTTACGCTAATATTATTGCCAGTCGAAATTATGAAATCCTTAACTTCTTGAAAGCAGTGGAGGCTGGAGCGCTCAAATTCTACGGACTTAATTTAGCTGATGAAACTGTAAATGATCGACTCCAACTACGGAAACATAAAATGTACCTATGATAAAGAATCCTGGAAAAAGAAGGACTATCATGACTATAGCCAACAGCAGCCAATTGTGAGGTACTCTCTCCAATACCCGCTCATCTACAAATATGTACCTGAAATAATGCGTCATTCTTACAAATTTTATCTAATCATGATAAGAGGTCCAAAAATTAAAAATAGGCACGTAATCAAGGAATTATGTGAGACAGTACGTATTCAGGTTACCATCCGCATGTTGGCCAATGAAGACTGTTCGGAAAGATGAAATTCAAGATGAACCCAAAGGGATTGATTCTACTTTAAACGCTTATCTCAGGATACTGTTTAAAATCAAACTTGGGATAGCCCCAAGGTGGTTTTCTAATATCATTTGGCGAGGAAGTGTGCTGAAACTGAAATGAGTCGGCCAAAAAGACTCATTTTCTCACGGTCAATAAACGAAATAACGAAATAATCAGCAACGGTTATCAACTGGTTATGTAAGACCGTTTTACTATTAAATTCGCTGAACGGATACATCAATGCTATTTTCACTTACGAGCTTCCGGCCGTTGAGAGATTTGACGCTATTTCAACCGGGGCAACACTCCAAGGGTTGATATACAGACTGCTCATAATATTTCCCCAAACTCCTGCACACGTTCAATATGGATATGGATTATGGATCACAATGAATACAATTTGAATCAAGCCATTTGCATTTGTTTGTTTTTATTCTGTTTACCTCCATTTTAATTTTGAGTAAAAGTTGTGAAACGAGAGATCATATTTTAATATTTAGATTTAGGAGTTTTTATGCTAAATAAGAAACAAAGCATTTGCTAAACACATCCATGATATGATTGAAGAGAGAAAAGGGATGATTTACCTGCGAGTCCGAACAGGAAACCATAGAAACCGTTAGCAGTTGAGGGGTACCTCTTTCCCTCCTCTGTTACCCTCTGTGAGAAAAACACGTGAAGCTGACCCGCATGGAACCCCGTCAGAGCTAAAGGATTATTTAATTAATTAATCGGTGTAATAGTCAAGTTATCCCGTCAGCTGGCAATTTCGTTTTTTAAGGGATAGCGGTAAAATATAAGGTAAATACGGGCTCAATTCGGTCACTTTAGGGGCGAGAAGTTTAGATTAAGCACAAACCTATAGCGAGAGTGATAACGAGGTAATTGTCTCCGAACAGATACATAACCACCATCCACAGACACAGGCCCAGTCCGTTTATCACGTGTAACACTCGCTGGTGTATCCATTTCTGAAGTATTGAGAAAATCTCATTGTCAATTAGTTTTGAACAATTCAACAATATTTTAGTTTTGAGTAATTTAGTAGCAATCCAATTCAATTAAAATATGAAACACTGGTAAGGACTAAGGCGCCAAACAAAATTTTACAGTTTTCTAGCCATTGTTATTTGCAGCGGCTTTTGTAGTTACTGCAAGGTCAATTAATGTTAAAGTGAATGATAAAATTAAACGTGACAGCACAATTGAATGAATTCTGGGAACATACCTGAAAAACTCCGAAAGTCCAAGCTGTGCCGGTAGCAACTGTTAAACAAAGAGGGGCGTGGACATGCATCATAGACATCTTTATAGAGGAGTCAAACTCGTAGATATAGGAATACACGTAGGGCTGCAGATAAATGGGTCATTATAATTAAGGTAAGGAATGATTGAAATTTGTTGAATTTTTGTTGAAAGGAAAAACGTCAAAAACGTCAAAAACGTCAAAAATTATCCCCTTATTACTGCTGCAAACATCTAACCAATATCGGGTCAATTATGATGCACAAGAGATGCACTGTCAGTGGTATATAATCATATAATAGTACATCTCTACTTTTATCTAAAACTCATAAAAATGCAGTTAAGTAATGCAGGCTAACTCCAAAGATTTATCTTTGAAATTAAAATTCACTTAAAGGTAAACGAAATATCTTACCAAGAACATGCCGTAAGAGAAAGGGATCATATTGACGGCGTGACCGCCCAAAGCACAACATAATATCACTATTCTTCCGCTGAAAACCATCCACCTGGGGAGAGGCCAGTGGTAAGCTTTAATATTTTCAGCAATTCTTGTAAGTAGTGATTAATGATGCTAATTTTTATTAAAAGTCATGGAAGATCAAACTAGGATAAAAATTTACGAAGTCAATATCAACAACAAAACTTGACAGCTTAACGTATGAGTTGTTTGACAGGCAAACTTAACAAGCCAAATTGGCAGCTTGATGGTATCCAATCATCGTAATGTTGTTTTATGACACAAAACTGCACGTGCAAAATGTAAACACTAGACTCAATAATATGCATTGTTTCTTACATACTGTTTAACGTGATATTCTTATCAGTTTCAGAGTGGTATTACCACTTACAATAATAACCATGTTAGTGATTGGTGGCAGATTTAATTTTACTTAGACCGACAGACAGTACCAATAACGTTTTTGTTTCTCCAGCACTGCGATAGTTCATTATCCAAAGTAGGCCAATAAAACTAGCTCCAAAAACGAAAGTACTGAAATTATAAAATCTTCAATCATGTCTCATCACGGGACTGCGGATTGTAGCATTACGCGGTAATATGCTAATTGCTATGGAGATAAACCATCAAATGTGGCCTCGTGCCCAACAACTTAAGCTTTCTTCAACGATTTTACAAGTTCGTTCACTCTAAGGTTTTACAGACAGTAACTTGGGGACTAAAATTAAGCGTTACAAAGGTCGGGCCTAGTGGGCTAGTTTCCTGGATCTACAATAATTTGTCGGGTACATGTGAATCAACAATCGTCAACTGGTTGGTAATTAAAATGGGGCAACATGTTTCTTATCTACTGTATCCGGCCTCTAGTCGGGAAAGATTAGGGCGTTACATGCGATCGAAAAGGCCTGGTAGATGCGGCCAAAAACTAAATCAGATACAGGTAAGTGATCAAATTAAAAATGGGGACAAATTGTTAGAAAAAAGGATAATCTACAAATCAAAATGTCCGCTCCCAAGTTATTACTGAAGGCATATTGCATAAAATATGGTGACGGTATCTAGTGTGAGTTAATAGCCTCCTCAAGGAGAACTAGAGTGATTGCTTCATACCTGTGTGTTCGTCACGTTTGTAAACAAACCGAACACTTGCTATATGAAGAAACCATGAAGAACCCATGAAGATGTAACGATTTCAGAGTCTGATGTAATTTACCGCCTGCAACCTAAACCTTAGAAAGAAAGAAATCGAACTACCGCTGCTAACTTATTGGAGCGAATCAACGGAATTATAATAAAAACACTGGCCATTAAGCTATTACTCTATTACGATGACGAAAAGATCATTAATTCAACTGACAAGTGGCATCGGTAACACAATTTTATCGAAACTGTGTAAGAAATGCCTCACGGCACTAGAAGTTTCTACAAAAAGAACTACCTTAGGTTACATTTTTATGACTGACCAAATTTACAATTTACTGTTGATGTTTTTCAGTTTTAAAGAACCACCAAATTCGGTTAAATAGCATTAACATGTAGCCTAAAGTACGGTTTTTGAAATCGCAACAATCGAGTGTCATCAAATACTTATTATTTTCGAAAAGGATGTTCAGAAACAACAGTTAAACGTCAAATAATCGCTAGCAAACATACGAAGCTTGACTTCCATGAATGCTCAATGCTGGCTAGTGGCCGTATTTGGGATATGATAGTGAAATCTGATGCTATGTATAGTTAAAATGTGGTATTGTGGTACATTTGCGCCGCCGCAATCATTATGATTAGTTAAAATTTGCACATGGTCATAAGGGGTCTTGCCATGAAGTTACACTGAAATTTCTCTCGAGTGAAGGTACTGGCCCAGCCACTTCCATTGTACGTGGCACAAAACAGATATGAAATGGGGAGTATTCGTTGGAAGGGTACGACTGATAGGAGAAATTAAGGAATTAAGGTTCTGTGCTAATAGAACTAGAAGTATCGCTTTGGAAACGGTTTTAAAATTTCACGGCTACAATATTATATTCGACTAGGATAAGGCTGAACCACGACTTTGACTCTAACATATAGTTATATTATAGTGAATAGATTGCGAAACCAGTCGACTACAATTATGAAAGAACGACAATCACGGGTGTAAAGAAAAATAATCTTATCACAGTTGCCGCCCCAATGAAATAAGTTCTGATAACAACACTAACCAACTTATCATGCCAATTGGCGATTACAGCTGGTCGAACAACAAAGCCTTGAAAACCATTTGACATAGGCTGCGAGATCGTCACAACCTTACAATATTTAACTTAATACTTTAATATAATAACAAGGACCGATTTCATTAAAATGTTATACACAGTGAGCTAGCTCAATCAGCTGTTTCTAAAAACTGATAACGGAGAAATGAAGAAATTCTGCGTTTATTATCTCGGTCATCCTAATTTGGTAGCCTCAGTGGGTGCAACTGCAAGGTTTTTTATTTTAAGTCAAGATTGAAATTGGATCTGTCCTCTTTCCATTATGTAATAAACTCAAACTAGTGATGACAAGAGCTGTATGGTGTATGGTTCAAGTGGGAGCTAGGACTCCGTTCAAATTGATAAGGAAATTGAGGTCAAAGGCCTTATCAGGGACCAGTCTTGATTCAAAATAACTGTAGAATAAATGTTTCAAATTACGCCAATTTAATTACAGGTTATTAGCTATGGATTATGATTCAGACACTGTCTTGAAATTTAAATATATTCTATATATTTCATTGGTATCAGCTCAAAGTTGATACTCGTTCATGTCATAGCATATCTACAAGTAAAATTAAAATTGAATTATGATTTTCTTATCACTTAATCAACAAAGCAACACGTATTATCGGTAATTTCTGACTGGTCATGTTTTCAGCTCCAGGGAAGTTATTATATACAGGGGCCACATGAAACAGAATAAATACTACTAAAAGTTGACCCCGTCATAATTATTTGTTATTCTTCAAGAATGATATTATTAGCAAGTCCTAAATTACCTTATCGGACCTTATTTGGACGGACATTACTTGAACGCTGGAGGCCCTAGCGTTCATCTTAATGTCCGTTCAAATAAAGTCCGTTCAATTAATGTCCGTCCAAGTTAAAGTCCGTTCAAATTTTTTCAAAAATTTTTCCATTTCGAACTTTTTGTCCAGAATATGACAACTATGAGAACTTTATTGTACCGTAAGTTAACGACGGAAAGGTTCTCCTTGGTCTGCCGGAGGCACAGAAAACTCTACTAGTATATGATGTTTTCAAGGGTCACTTGGTGGAAAAAGTCAACAAAATTATGTTGCACTCAACAACATAGTTCATGAGCTAGTCCCCGCCAACATGACAAACTTGTTCCAGCCTCTAGATATTACGGTAAATCGTGTTGCCAAGGACATTGTCCGACGTTGTTATAGTTCATATTACTGAGGGGAGGTAATGACTAATGAAACAGTGTCTTCGGCGGCGCGCGCTTCGCACGCGAAAAGTGGCATGCAACGTATGTCAAAACAGTGCTAGGAAAGCTCCACGTGATGTTAAGGTTAACCTAAAGTTGTCTAAGATAAAACCACTTCACGCCGAATGGCTTGTAAAAGTTAACACTGAAATGCAGGACCGGGGTAGTTTGATAAAAAAAGGTTTCCATAAAGCTAGAAATCACTGATGCTTGTTTAAGCATGGACTATTTCATGCACGAAAACCCATTTGATGAAGATTGAAGATGATATGTGATATTAGACACTGATCATGTACACATATTTTAACATTTTTACTGCTTAATGACTGCTTTTCTTACTTACTACTGTATAAAAAATGGATTTAAAAATCATTTGCTGAAATTAAAAAAACGTCAAAAAATTGAAAAAAATTCGGATTTTTTATGGTTTTGAATGCCTTCGAGCGTTCATATTAATGTCCGTTCATAATTATGTCCGTTCATGTAATGTCCGTCCAAATAAGGTCCGATAAGGTAGGTGAAAATACAACCTAGGTGGTACAAAGTACATACCAACTGGATATCCGGTTTCAATAACCGGTTCTGGTTCCGGTCCGGTGTCAAAGCGGCTTAGCCGGATTTCAACCGGAAATTTCAAAATCTTTCAGAAAATTTGTATAACCATTGAAAAAACTTCAGCCCGGTCGGTTCCTTGTACGTGCCACAATAAACAAACACAAAAGCAGAGCAGACGTGACGGTGAAAACATTTTTCTAAAACTTGAGTATCAGCCAGTTGAGTGGAAGTAAACTGGTAGGAACTAAATTCCTGTCCAACCCAAGTTGGGATAGGTAGTGATTACAAAACACTCAAGGCCTTGAAACTCTGTTGAGTTCCTTCATAGTTAATTCCTTACTCAACTTCCGAGTAATTTAATCGGCTTGTGAAAAATGATGATAAGCCAGCACTAATTTTTTGGTGTCGCCTCAATGAGAAGCAACGGTTGCTTCTCATTGAGTCCGTTATTATCAGATGCGACTCCAGAACTATTCATTACAGTCACACAATTTGATTTTAACTTTGATAGCGCACCAGGCTCTGGGGCACAATGTTCTAGGGCGAGGACGTCCTGAGCCAGTACAACGGTTACCCCAATAATGAATAATTAAGGATGAAGGTCTGCTTGCTAGGGTGCTTAATCTGATTTTCTTCCCTTTCACCGCTTGTTCGTTGGGGACACGTAAATCCTGAGACAGAGGAGCCAGTAAGCACTTTTAAATATATTACTAAATATAATGAGCCCCCCCCCCCCCCCCCCCCCGGCCCCTCTAGTGAACGAGTAACAACAGTGGAACCATGAAATTAAACGGAATTAAACATGTAACTGGTGAGTGGTGGCTCGTTGGCCAGAGGCTCGGGTATGTGTGATCTCATTCACTATAAGTATACAGTAAACACTAAACACTCATTAAATTCTGTAGCATGTTCCATAGGTATTATAAAGTGAATGATAAAAATTATAATAATAAAACATTGACATGCTTAAAAGCAGCCTGCTTGCAAGCAGCCTCGACGAGTGAGCAACCAGGGTACACGCTCATGGCAGCTGTTCTATCGAACCTATAAACGAAACTCTGGTAAAAAGAGGATCATCAACAATCAATTCATGGCAGATTTTGACATACCCGCTCGAGTAAA